TTTTCCTAGTGGCGAAACTAAGCTGCTTGTCTTGTTTCCGTTCTAGTGAAGAAGTCTGTGTCTGCAGCAGAGCAGGACTTGTGGAAGAAGAGCTTCAGCTTCTTTGAAAAAGGAATGAAGGACTTTGAAGCCATCAGGGACAGCACCAACACGGCCTTACTGCTGTGCAACACGGGCAGGCTGATGAGGATCTGCGCTCAGGCCCACTGTCCTGCCTCTGCCGACGAGAGCAGAGGAGAGTTCTCTCCAGATGAGGCCCTTTACTACAACAAGGTAATATATCTACGAGTTTTTAATGTATCTAATATAAAATAGTTTTTTTCCATTTATACATTATTTTTTTATTTTTTTTTTTACCTCAGGCCGTAGACTATTACTTGCAAGCTTTGAGAGCGCTGGGTAGCAGAAAGAGCCACCCAGCTGTATGGGACAGTGTGAACTGGGAGCTGTCCACCACCTACTTCACCCTGGCTACACTTCTGCAGGACTACGCACCACTGTCCAGGAAGGCCCAGGAGCAGGTCGGTCCACACACACACACACACACACACCACACCACACCAGGCATTTCTTCCACTTCCTAGGAACACCTGACAATATTAACAGGCATATACTCCAGGGAATATTTCTATCAGCAAACATCAAAAGTTAATTTATTTAAGGTGCTTTTATTCAAAATGTGAAACTCAAATAATTTATAGATTGATTACCTACCAAAAAAAACAAAACAAAAAAATTTCAATATACACATGTCCTGCTATGGTCAACACTGGATTTTAATGACCACTGTGGTTGGTTTACCAACATATTAATCTGACCAAATTAACTGAGAAATTTTAGTTCGGTTTTAGTTTTTCATTGGCAGCCATCCATTTGTCCAATTATCAAAATGAACAGAAAGGCGGAGGGTGGAAATTTATGAGTTTCACTCTTTGCATTGATACTCTGAAATGATTCAGTTCAAATGGTATTCTGATTTATTTAGGTGCACACATTCAGGCCCGACTTGCTCCCACGACGTTGCGTTTCCTCCACTTCAAAAGCTGCGTTTTTGCGTTTTGATTGTACAGATTGAACGCGAGGTGACCGACGCCATGATGAAGTCCTTGAAATACTGCGACCTGCAAACCGAGTCGGCCCGGCAACCGCTGTACCAGTACAGAGCTGCGACCATCCACCACCGCCTGGCCTCCATGTACCACAGCTGCTTTAGAAACCAAGTGCGACTCAGTTCTGATGATCTTATTTGTCTGAAGAACTCCTTTCCTGTGTTGCTGTGTCATCCTTTGCCGCATTTGTGTTCTGAGAAACCGGTTGCGCTTGTGCCGCAGGTGGGGGACGAACACCTGAGGAAGCAACACCGCAACCTGGCGGAGCTTCACTACAGCAAAGCCGTCTCTCTGTTCCTCAGCCTCAAAGACGCGCCCTGCGAGCTGCTGCGCACGCTGCTGGAGAGGGTGGCTTTCACCGAGTTCACCATGACGGGTGGGGGGAACCTTTCATCTTCGAAATGTTTTGGACTCACGTGTGATTATTTCTTTTCCAAAACCTTCCTACGGTTAGCCATGTTGTGTGTTTTTAAAGGTCAGAGCAGCAGCGTGGCTAAGCTGAAGAGCCTGATTGGAGCGATAGAGATCATGTCAGAAACCCGCCATGCTTTCCAGCTGATCCAGAAGGAGCTGTTGGAGGAGCAGGAGGAAGTCAGTAAAAACTTGAAATCCTTCTTCAAGTTACTCACTCTGGCCACTTATTGTTACTCACAGCGTGACGCTCTCTTCCTCCCCGCAGCAGACGGAACCATCTGCCGCCGAGTCAGCAGACTCTCCCGACAGGGTCGGCGTCTCCACGTCTGGATTGGACCTCCAGGAGGTGCTGAAGTTAATTGGCGTGTTTGAGCCAAGTTTCTCCTTCCTGCTGTTACAAGTGATCAAACTGATGACGACAACCAAGCGGAAACCAAGGTGAGCGGCGGTCTAAAACCCAGCGTGCGATCTTCTTGCGGTCAGCTCGTCGCTGACCAGCTCACCTCTGTTTTGCTCCGCAGCAATAAAGACGAGGACATGTTGAAAAACTACAAGGCCGTGTACTCCAAGTTGCTGCGCTCTGAGAAAGACGCGCCCCTCCTCAGTCGCGTTGAGCTCTACATCGAGCTCCTGCAGCAGCTGACCCCGTAAACAGGAAGTGACAACACAGGAATAAATGGAGCTTAAAGCACAGAGAGGACGAGAGGAGTACAGTGTATAGCAACTTTGACTACAATTGTCTCTACACTCTGAGGTTAAGAGTGTTATGACTAGATGCCTTTTCCACTCAAAATGTACCTAGCAACCATGCGGTGTTCTTACGGAGAGCAAACCCCTGATACTTTATCATGACAGAAAGTTTGCTGCATCTATTGAGAAAAGCAGCGGGATAACATAGCTGGAAATTTGTAGTTTTGTAGTTCAATAGCTACTGTTTAGGTTATGACATAAGCTTTTGAGTTTTGCCTCCACACAGAAGGGTTGATTTATTTATTCTCGCACATAAAAGTCTCAAATCACGTTACTGACTAAGAGCATTGATAAGTGAATTTATTTCATTATGAAATAAAACGGAAAAGCTCTCAACATAACTTAGTATAAACAGAGTGATATATTTCATTCATTTACTTTTGTTCATTTTAATGTTTCACTCACAACTGATGAAAACCCCCATAATCTGTTTTTCAGAAAGTTATATTGAATTATTTTTAGACAGAACTTAATATAACATTGACAATTATATTCATGGAGAACTCCATGGACATAATTGTAAATATTACATTAAGCAGTCAGCAGTCTTCACCGTGGCATTTAGGCCATAACATTTTTGTATTAAAAAGACTTTATTTTATTTTCTGAAGGAAAAGGTGGATTTTTATCAGACATCAAAATAACCTAGATTTTAAATGCATCACTTTCTGTTTAAAATGAAAATTCTCAGATATTGCAATATATGGAAATACTGAAGTAATTTAACAAGCCAACTGTTGTAGTGTACGCTAATAAATCTGCAGATGTAGATATATTTTCAAATCATTGTTAAAATTAATGGAAGTTTGGCATTGGTTCTCATAAAATAAAAATAATAATAATAAAAAAACTGCCCATTTGAAGAGATCGATTTGATTTGCTGTTCGGATGGTGACGTGATGCACTGTGCACTTTTTTTCTTTCTTTACCTGCCGTCACCAAAAACTGGAGGCTTTTAGATTGAATGCGGTGAGTTATTTATTCTAGAAACACTATGATGGATGTCAGGATTGTTGTTGTTTAATAGTCCAACCAAGAGCCTTTACTTCATGTTGAATTGTAAAGGACTTTAAATACTTCTCACAATGAAAGCCCTAAACTGAACCTCCTCTGGAGCGAAACGCGCCTCTTTTGGATAATGATCTATTGATCTGGTGTCAAACGGATCCACCGTCATGATACTGAAAACTCTGACATTCATCTCAACACAGGTCATTCACTTTGCTTTGTAGTACAGCCATATGAGTCAGTACTTTGACTAGGCCTTCTGAGAAGCATTTAAGTAATCTGTCATTTACAGCTTCGAGGTGTCGGATAACAAACTCAGGCATCGCTGTTAATTATTTTAATTTTTTTCAAGGGGCAGGGACTATTATTGTCTCATTTATTTTTAATATCTGCATCGTGGCAGTGGTTTCTGCATCACCACTTTTAAACTCTAACAGTTTTTTTTTTTTTTTTGATTAAGGAATTGTACATTTGAATATTTAAATTTATTACCTACATACAACCAGACTGATGGACGTTTCTAACTTTCTAGCAAGGAAATAAATTATTTTCCTCGAGGCTGAGAGAAATTATTTATCATTGGGGTCAGATCGGTTTCAGGTTGTGTGGTGTTTGATTTTTTTGTTTTGTTTATCAATAATGCTGTGAAAAAAAAAAACAGTAAAATGATTTTGATTAAGTTACAACATTTGCTTTAGAAATTGTGCAATAGTTGAGCAACATTCAATGCAAAAATCAAGAGAGCTGGTTGTGTCCTTAATGCTGTATGTAAGAAAGTGAATCTATTTTTGTTTTTGCATGGTTGCTCAAAGAAGTAAAGGACTTTTTAATTCTAGTATGCTGTATTTCTTCAAAGATCTGTGTTCTTTATGAAAGCGTTAGATCACACATTTAAAAAAAGATAGATATGTTCCCTTTGCACGTGAATAACTGATGTTTTGATCTAAAATGACTGAATGCCTTTTTTAAAATCCAATTTAACATGGCAGGTTTTTAAAGGTACCACCATGTTCTCACAAAGCCAGCAGGTGTCCTTGCACATGGGTTTTGTAGCTGAAGAGAGGACATCGTATTTACACTGTGGAGCCGGCTGCACTCCGTGACCCTGCTGTCATTAAAGCGAGTCCACAGCAGATGGAGCTGCAGGCGTGTCCAAACTGTTCACACACCTCATTAATCAAACTCGACCCTCTGTGCTGCAGGGTATAGTTGGACAGTAAGGGCAGAAAAAAATTAAAATGAGAACCAGAGAATGGTTAACTATTCAGAAAATAAACAGGAAGGACACACAAACCATGGCGATACGCTTAAATACACTCACGGGTGTGAATGTAACAAATTTCAATCTTTCATAGATGTGCTTTTCTTTTTTTTGCATTAATTTGGGATGATTTTCAGAAGCATGATTTATTGTGAGAGCACATGTTTCCAAAGCTCCAGAGTCCAGTGCTGGTGTGTTTTACAACACTGCATTCACCACCAGCTATGGAAACCCAGTCCACAAATCCCTCTATGCACAGCAATTTGCTTTTTGACAAACTGCTGTGGATGCTGTCTATATGCCAAGGCTCTGGATTTTATATACTCATGGCCATGGAAGTGATCAGAACAGCTGAATTTAATTATCTGAATGTGTGTCCCAATACATTTGGTAACATAGTGTATATATTTGACCCTAGAAGGTTTACCCTAATTATCCAATTATTCAAACTTGTGCACCAAATTGTACTTTTTAATAACTGTATTGTCGTTCCACCCAGTAAAAACAATGACTCAAGTGGGTCTTTAGTCTTAAAATTATAACAAATGTATGCAAATATCAAATTTGTACTGAGCAATAATGCCATATATGTTAAATATTTTATTTTTATGTTAGTGCACTGTACATTACTATTTAAAATAAAACACTGACTGATAAAGAAAAGGAGGAGGGGCACACATGGAGGGAAAAGTGATTGATAGAAATAGAAATCAAGGACATTGTGACAACAGCTCAGCTATCCAGATGGTGTCGATGCTAGAAGTGAAGACAAGCTAGTTTGTCCAGCCATGACTGGAAGCGGCGGGTCTGACAGTCACTGTACGACGCAGCGGTCAGACGTCCGGTCATCCTGGGGCTCCTCGCTTGACGAGCGCTTGTTCTCCTCGTCCTGAGATGCTCCGCGGCTCAGGATATTCTGCAGGAGGTCTTTGCTCTCACTCGATGGCAAGTTGTAGAAAAAGTACTGTGGCATCATTTGAACGAACCTGCAATCAAGGAGAACGACGTTAGGTGCTGTGATTCATGAAGTGATTCAATGAAACACATCCTCAGTCTTGAGAAATGCCCACTTTTGATGGACTGAAGACACAGGACACCTCTCAGTTTCAAACCCTTAAATCAACATCCGAAGATTATGAAACGCAGAGGGGCATCAGGAAGCCAACAAAGCTTTACATTTACACTCTAAGCTGCTGCTCGGCATTCCTGTGGATCTGGGCAATCCGTAATCCTCCTCTCTCCAGCAAGCAGACGCTAAAGAACAGAATCTGTAATTCCTCGCTCCGAACCGAGGCTCTAAATGTGGTTCAAAGAGGTCGGAGGAACGTGGCTGTCTGATTAGGTTTGAACCAAGATACCGCGGGGTTTCTGCAGGGTGCTTCCAAGCAGTAAGAGAGTCTGCCGATTGAGCTGCGAATCTGCTACCTAGCCAGTTTTTTGAAAAAATTGAGTGTATGTATAAAACTGCTCAAGGAGGGAGGATGGGTGGGGGGTAAAGAAAAAGTTAGCGAGGCTTACTCCTCTGGCGTTATGTGGGTGACGGTGCGGAGGCAGTTGTCCTCCGAGAACGTGTGCTGGTGGAAGAGCACCCACTCCGGCAGGCCCAGCTTGGGGCTCTTGGCTCCATATCCAGACATCGGATGGATCTGTGCCACGTGTTTATGAGTCAGAATGAAATAGTTCCCCGATCCATCAACATCCCGAGCCACCTGAGGGGAATCAGAGCCAAAGCGAGAGTCACTCTATTGGAAGATTTATGAAGAGAGAGAAACATGGAGTATGCAAACAGAAAAGTGCATCATATGATTTTTTTTTTCCTTAGAGTGGGAAACAAATAGAGGACGAATCTAAGCCAATAAGAAAAGACATGCTGGAATAAAATCCCTGACAGCTGCATCAATCGGCCATGCCACGCAGCACCCTAATTTCTGAAGCGTGATTGAATCTCTTAATATCGGGGTGAATCTGTTGCAGGAGTGTGACAGTAATCAGGCCTGGGCGCCGCAGTGTAATTGAAGTCAGCTTCCCAGAATATGTGGTTAATCCCAATTTTTTCATGATGTAAAAGAGAGGCAATTGCTTTGTTAGATATGGTTAGGTTGGTTTCAGATGGACAATGTAAATCTATAAGAAGGTCAGTGCTTCTTTACTGTGCCGTACCCACAGTGAAACCTGAAAGTATAGAAGGGAATTTCACTTTGTCCGTCATTTAATTGGTCAAGGAGAGATCATTTAACCTTCCTTCAAGCCAGAAACACCATCTTACTGCAGGCCAATAAAGAACAGCCAGTATAATTCCAAATGCATAGATTACATGAGCATGTAAATGTCCCACAGTGCTCCCACCAAGGCAACAATATCTGCAATATCTGACCTGCATGAAAAACCCTGCGAGCAGGGCTCTCTTGATGTTGACCGTGTTGCCCCGGCAGCCAAAGGCGGGCGCTGAGACGGGCAGCTCGATTCTCCTCAGCGTGTCGGTGAGCTCGGTTCGAAGAGCGTCGGCCGTCAGCAGGGCGCTGTGGCTAAAGAAGAAGTCCTGACACCACTTCTCCTCGTCGCAGTCTGACACAGCAGGGAAAGAAAGCGGGCGAGGACGGATTTAGAGAGTTAAATGGTGAAATGGGACATGATGCGGCCTAATGCCACTGTTTTATGTTTTCTTTCCCTGAACTGACATTCGTCCTGCTGACACTGTTTGAAAGCCTTGAAGATGTTGATGAGGGTGAAGTGGTCTCCCTCCGGGTGCTGGAACTTCATGAGGCACTGGGCTGCCTCTGGCTTCAGCTCCACAGCTGGAACCGTGAAGCAAGAGGGCGCTGAAAAGATGCACAAGATAATACTTACTTACCAATACGGTTGGTGCTCATATAAGCTGAACATTTACACATCTGATCATATTTCAAACCACAACATCAGTGAATTTTATACGGATTTTCTGTGACAGACCAACAAAATAGTCCATCCATCCATCCATCCATCCATCCATCCATCCATCCATCCATCCATCCATCCATCCATCCATCCATCCATCCATCCATCCGCCCGCTACAATTACTGCTGTAAATTCTTTGAGCTATGTCTCTGCCAACTTTGCACACCTGAGAGCCTGAGATCTTTGACCGTCATTCTTTGCAGAATATCCCAAACTCAGTCTGACTGAATGGAGAGTGTCTATGAATATCAATTTAAAAATGTCCACATACATTCTGACTTACATTTAGGCCAGAACTTTGACTGGGCCCTTCTGATGCAAGCACTTTGACACGAACTGTTTCACTGTTTCTCTGGCTATCAAGAGACTGTCCCCTCATCTGCACAATGTGACAAAGTGATAGCTGGTTGCAAATAATTTTACAGACAGCTTTGGAGTAAATCGGGTGGGTAAAAATGCACGAGACAATTTTCTAATCTGTTAAGCATTTATTTGTGTTGGTATATTTTATTAAATCCCAGTAACATCCATTGACACTTATGGTTGTACTGGAGCAAAAGGTGAAAACTACAGAGAAATACTTTTTTTGCAAGACACTTTAAGTCACTGCACGATTTTGCACGTGCCCATTTTTTTTTTTTTTTTTTTTTTTTAGATTGGTGTTAAAATTGCCATACATCACCTGTCAGCATGGCTGCAATGATGACCACTTCGTTGACACAGTCAAACTCACAGGAGGCCAGCACAGTCTTGGCCATTTGAGGCTCCAGTGGGAACTCAGACATGATGATGCCCATCTCAGAAAGGTTCCCGTCGTTATCCAGAGCAGCCAGGTAGTCCAGCTCCTCCAGTGCCTGCATCAGGCCTCCGGGGTCTGGATAGAGAGATTTCAAAGGAGGCGTGTGGGATAACGTTCAAAATGTCAGACACGAGCAAAGGAAAGTGGATTTATAACTGTATTTTACCGTATTTAAACCGGGTGATCATTAATTCCACACAAATCTACTTTGAAGTATTCAAAGTCTAGCACCCTGCTGGGAATGGTGAGAACGAAAGGGCAGCAGCAGATTACAGAGATGTAATCCTCGCCAACATCTGCCCCACACTGCTACGCAAAATAAAAAACTGGTTCATGTTATGAGTTAGTTTTTTTTTTTTTTTTTTATAGTGTTAAATGAGAAAGCCAAAACAAGAGGGAAAGAAAGGCTCCCTATTATCTGCTCACCCTCACACCGGCTCAGCCATGCCTGTGCTCTAATCAGCTAATGAGTGTGTGTGCGTGTTTTGTGGTGCTTTTCTGTGCATAAATCCGACGAGAACAAAAGCACACGGAAGGAGGTCAGCGCTGAAAGGATGCTCACAGAACAGGAGCTGTCGGCTCAGCTGATGCATGGCTCACTGCCTTTCAATAATAACAAAAAGAAAAAAAAAAAAGTTCCTGTCTGCTGGAGCAAGAAGAGAACAAAACCGATTGGATCGAAAGATTCTATCGTCCAACACTAAGTGAATTTTTCGGGGACGAACACAGGCTTAACTGTTGCAAAAGCCGCAGAATATTCAATGTTTTTTTTTTGTTTTGTTTCAAGCTTGTGAACACATAAATCTCACCTGGCCTGTCGATAAAGTGACAGTGACCCAGCCCGGCGATCTCCATCCTCTTTAGGAACAGCACGGTGGAGGTGATGTCAGACTCCATAATACGGGGACGAATCTTCGCAGGAAGCTGTCTCTCTTTCGGGTAAAGACGAAAACACTTGCCTGCAGGACAGAACGGTAATCTTACACACAGCTGGATAATCACAACTACGGATTTACATTCACTCGCTGGCCACTTTATTAGACCCAGATAGATCAGTTAGCTGACTAAGGAAAAAACTGGACAATAACAGACTGGAAAACACCGGACTGATGCAATTTGGTTCGCTCAGATGCTGGGTTCATGATTTGGTGTAAACAACATCAGTCCAGTTTGGGTTTTGATGCAGTAGTATCGGAGATATTCTCTTGACACGTTTGAATTGTTGCTAAACGTGTACGTTGTCGAAAAGCCGCAGTACGCTCATCTTCTTTTATCAATTTGCAAAGTTCAAATGAACTCAAACTGGTTTTATTGAACATGGACGTAAGTTCACCGTCCTCTACTGGCTTGTACAGTCGCCATATCCAAAACAACACTTCTGGGATTTGGCAATCATAGATTCCAGCAGATTTTGAAGGCCAAAAGGTCATTTAACCAGCAAGAAGTGCCTAAAACATGCTCACCTGTTGGACCAGCCAGCTGTTTGCGGCACTCGCTTTGACCTGAGCTGATTGGCTGGATGATGACAGAGTTTGTTCTGATTCTCGGGTTGTAAACCTGCAACACAATGGCAAAAAGGAGTTAGAGAGATCCAGAACTATATATTTATGTCTTTAAAAAAGTTTTTTTTCCCCCCTGCATCACAGAAGCAAGGATATACTTTTTTTCTTTTTCTTTGATAGATTTTATTTTAATGCACTTTGATACACAAACATACACTCTGACAGAGCATCTCTGCTGAGACATCAGCAGATAACAGGAAGCTAAGCAAATGCTGTTAATTGTACTGATAATGCTAGGGACATATAAAGATAATACAGAATGTATAAAACAACAACTCTGCAATTATTTGTTTTCTTGTTTAGAAGTATTAATAAAATACTGTTTAACAGTGGAGATAAAACAGCTGGTTTTACCTCGCTTCCTCACACGGTGTGAAGGTGCCTGTTCCTTATATGAAGAACGTTAGATATTAGAATGGACCAAACTGTTGCTTTGTGATATGGTGCATATTACATTTTGAAATGTACAGAAAAACAGAAAAGGAAAAAAAAAAATTGTGAAATAAAACTGAGTTGTGCTGGAAGTTTCTGCAGTTGGATTATCGCCTGTTGAAACACCTCTGACCTGAAGCCGGGTTACTTTACTGAACTTTTTGAGTTTCAGGAATGCAGACCTTGGATGTCTTTTGATATTTTTCTTTTTTTTTTAATTACTGTTTTATTTTACAACAAACTTTGTATTGTTAAGATGTTCAGATGTTTTAAATGGATTCAGAAAGTAGAGAAATAAAAGCTTTTAGTTCATAAAGTGCAGCTGGCTGAACTGGCCACAAATGTCGGATCGATGCGAGATCACAAGAAATAATGCAAAACTTACAAATCTTTTTTCCACTCCAGCATCAATAACGAAGTTAATTGAGCTATAAGCCCAGAAAAAGTCCTCATTTGGACTGCTTGTGAGGAACACTCGTCTGGTCTGACCCGCCTCCTCCCCAAATGTTGGTAGACTCCCAGGTTGGTCAGGATGTACAGCTATGGGCAGCAGTTCACCCAGACCAGGTGGCAAGCCTCGCTTTTCATGACACAGGATGTCATGGGCCAGATCTATTTCCTAATAGAGGACATAAACAGAGATAATTCAGCAACAAAGCAATTTTTTTTGTCAGACTTAGGACAGCAGGGTTGCGTCTTACCTGCATCGTCACCAGAAACACAACCACATCCCCCGGCTCCTTGGAGCGATGGATCTCCAGCACGAGACGGAGAGCAGAGCAGAAGTAGCTGTCGCCCGTGCTGCTGTACGCCACCTCCCCAACCTCTGGGGCCTCCAGGTGGATGGCTGGCAGTGCTGACCCAGTGAAGAGGTTCAGCTGCTTGGGGTCCGGTTTGGTCGCAGACAGGAGGACCACGCGGAGCTCTGGCCTCTGCAGGGCGACCTCTTTCAGCAGACCCAAAAGCACATCGGTAGCAACGGTCCTCTGGTGGGCCTGGTCTATGATCACCACACCGTAACGCTCAAGCAAAGGGTCTGACATCATTTCCCTCAGCAGCATATCATCTGTGCAATACCTGAGGCAAAATTGATTAAAAAA